TTGAACCTTCTTGAAAATTTTACATTTTTTTTGTTTTATATATGTATATATATTCTCGATATTAATTTGGGATAGAGAAGGTAAGAGAGCTACTTTTAATTTTATTTATTTGTCTCTTGTTAGGAGACACAATGAATCAAATTGCAATGATAAAAATCCTTAGATAATTTATGTTAAAGTAATAAAAAATTTAAAAATGTATTATAAGATATATTAAAATTTAAAAATTATGATGAATTCTTTATAAAATTAATTGATCATTAGTACAATAGATAATTTTAATTTTATTTGTAAGCATTAAGGAAGGATCGAAGTTGCAAATTAAACTATTACTATCAATTGGATCACATTTAAAATTCAAAATTTTAAATAATTAAATTTAATTGTGACAGTCGATTAACCTTTATAACAATAAAGTTTTAATTCGATTGCGTGTGATATTCAATTAAAGTTAAAATTTATATAATTCATGTTTAGCTCTTTCAAAAGGTGACTTACAATTATTTTACTTGTACAACACTTCAACTTGAGCCTGCTTAAACAAAATCCAATTTCTTTGATCCATTTGATTGAAAATTTCTATTTAATACTCTTTGGTCCTAATATAAAAACTTCCATGCATTTTTTAGAGAATTTTTATTTAAATTATATCTCATACAATTGAATAAGTTAAATAAACAATTAACATTTAATGAAGATATTATCCATACTTGGGATATATATTCCCAAATATATAGATATATTTCCATACTTAGATAAGTACTCTCGATAAAATATTTCCCGTGAATATTACCTAATTTCATTATTGATTTATTTTAAGATTAATTACTCACATTAAAGTAGTAGAATTTTCTTAGCTACCATTTATGTGTTACAACAATTTTCTTAGCTCGAGCTTGTGCATCGTACCCACATAGGCTTAGTATTAAATTATTTATAGGACTTTAACCAATATAATTGATTTATTATGACTAAACACTTTTGACTCATCATCATGATTTATTTATCGCATCAATAAATTGGAGGAACATACAGGTCACCGAGAGTGTCATTTAATAAGTGTATCACAACTCTTACAATGTATAAAAATTTGATCATGAAATTCAATAGTTTGTCCGTGGATGCATAATTACCATATAGTTAATTCATTTCATTTATTATATTTTAGATTAATTCAAGATGTGACTTGTACAAACCATTATTTAACTGAATAGTTGGTATATTTCTTCCTATATAAGAGATTGTACTTCCCTGTATGTTTTTAATTAAATGTTATTTATATTGTTTTAAATTTGATGTATATATATATTAGTTAATTAACCAACACAGGTATTTATTCAAAAATAGAGACTCATAATTGTCAACGTAAAAAATTAACTCGCATAAATATGACATAATTGAAGGTTTTCCCAAAGATGATTCATGTTCTTATCGAAGCACGATTATGTGACTTTAATATCTTTTTTTTTTATATTTAGACGTTACCTTTGTCTTGAGTTAATGAGTTAAAAGTAAATTACTTAAAATATTTTCTCCTATTACAACTCTTAGAATAGTTGGTTGATTTCAACTTGAAAATAAAAATAAATGCATAGATAAAAAAATTATGTTATTATTACACTCTTTGAAAGTACCACAACACTACAATGAAAAGGAACATGATGAAAATCCAAATGCTAAGGCACCAGATATCTTACATAAATAAAATAAAACAAATTGCAAGCATCGTGTTTACAACTCTTTTTAATCATCCTTCCAAGACTTAATCAAGAAATGCACTTAGTAGAATCTTTTTTTCCCATTTCCTTGAATATATATTTTGGGATTATCCTTGAACACGTTAGGTATCGCATTTGGGTCGTTCAATACATGAGGCATCATGTTTAATTTGTTCTGAATTATAATCGTCTCAGCTTCTTCAGTAACTTTCTTCTTCAATTCCTTAAGAGATGTCTTTAAATGCTCAAGTTGTGAGAAACTCATTTCCTTTTTCGGACCCATCCACCAACACTTACTCTCACATTTTTTTTTTGTATTTCCTTAAGCTCCGCATTGCGATTTTTCTCGATTTCCAATTGATTGATAACCTATTTTTATATTTTTCAAATAATAAGTACAAGTCAGTATAAGTTTTAATCCAAGAAAAATAAGATCAAATAAGTATATTAAGTTTTAAAATCTAAATATGGTCTACTCAAACCTATGTGAGGATCATATTGAGCTCATGTATCCTTGAGTTGCGGTGAGCCTCAATAAGCGTCATGGCTCCTGAAGTATCTCGTGGAGGATTACTACAAATGAAATATTCAATCACTTTTTCAACACAAGGATGACCAAAAATAAAAAGCCTTCTTACTTGGGGAAAAAACAATCATCGCAATATCAACGTCACAAAGAGTGGACAATTCACTAGCTTTCTTAAAAAGACCAGCTCTTCATTTTGAGAAAGTTACTTGGAGGCTGGTTTCATTACTCATCTTCACCATCTCAATCTTTTGACAACCCTTGCCCTTCCTATCCATTGCTAAAAGTGAAAGAAAAAGACGATGTGAAGAAAATATAAAAAAGTTGGTTTATAATTTACTAGGAACTGATAGAAAATGTGTAGTGTTTATAAGAGTCGTCGGACTGACATTATTATTTTGCGCTATGCAACATCAAACTTTATTTAAATGGATTTTCTATATAAATTTTTTAATCTTTAATTACTTATTGATTTGGATTCATCAGATTGGGAAATATCATTTTGTACTATCCAACATATAACTTGATTTATAAATTTATTAGCTTTAATTACTTACTCATTTGGAGTCAACAGGTTAGACATTACCATTTTACACTATCGAATACATAACTCGATTTAGATTAATTTTCTATATAAATTTTTTAACTTTAATTATTTATTCATTTGGAGCATATTGCATATTATCATTTTGCACCATCCAATATATAAACTGATTTATAAATTTCTTAACTTTAATTACTTATTTATTATGAATTATCAGGCTGGACATTATTATTTTGCACTATTCAATATTTAACTTGATTAAGAGAGATTTTTTTTATAAATTTCTTACCTTTAATTACATCCTCATTTGGAGTTACCAGGCTAGGCATTATCATTTTTCACTATCAAACATATAATTTGATTTAGATGAATTTTCTATATAAATTTCTGCCTTTAATTATTTACTCATTTTGAGTCATCAGGTTAGACATTATTATTTTGCACTATCTATAACTTGACCTATTTGGATTTTTTGCATAAATTTCTTAACTTTAATTACTTGCTCATTTGGAGTCACCAGATTGAGCATTATCATTATACACCATCCAGCATATAGCTTGAGTTAGGTGGATTTTCTCTATAAAATTTTTAACTTTAATTACGTACTCATTTGGAATCATCAAGCTGTGCATTATCATTTTGCACTATTCAACCTATAGTTTAAGTTAGGTAGATTTTCTATAAAAATTTCGTGGATTTAATTACTTACTCATTTGGTGTTACCAGATTAACTTTATCATTTTGCACTATCCAACATATTGCTTGAGTTAGGTGAATTTTTAATATAAATTTCTTAACTTTAATTACTTACTCATTTGGAGTCACTAAGTTTGACATTATCATTTTGCACTATCCAATACATAATTTAATTTAGATGAATTTTCTATTCAAATTTATTAGCTTTAATAACTTACTTGTTTGGAATCATCAAGTTGGACATTATCATTTTTCACTATCCAACACAACTTGATTTAGATGAATTTTCTATATAATTTTTTTTCCGTTTTGATGACTTACTCGTTCCGAGTCACCAAGTTGGGCATTATTATTTTATATTGTTCAATATATAATTTGATTTAGACAAATTTTCTATGTAAATTTATCGGCTTTAAAAACTTACTTGTTTGGAATGCTTTACAATCACCTCATTGAAATATGTAGTAAAAAAATCTTGAAGATTGATATAATATTTACCTATAAGTTATGCGAATTTACCACTTCCAAATCATCCTTGCTTGTAGAATGAAATGAGATGAATCTTCTTAGAAATAGTTATTAGCAGCCACAATTTCTTGCTTATCAAATTTGACAAGATAATAAAAATAGTGTCAGCATCTGTGCAAGGATGAATAAAATTTGAATTACACATCCCAATACACAGTATTATATAATTACAAACCTATTTTCTAATATATATATATATATATATCAAATTTAGGAAGATAATAAAAATATTTTTCATGTTTCTCCATACATGAATAATAAATTAGTCAACAAAAAATTACAAGCTTGGTAATAAAATTACAGCGAATATTGCAAAATCACCATGATGTTTAATAAGTTATATATAAAAGAAATTAAAATTTAAAGAAGAAAATCCCAAAGTACAGAATATCATACAATTACCACCCTACTAATTATTTTAAAAACGAATTTTCATATTTACAACCTTAGATTTAATAGGTTTTGATGACGCTTCTCTATAGAACTATTCCGATTTGGCTCAATTCTTCAACATGGTGAGTTGTCTTTCATAGTACATTATCTTTCTTGACGCTTTCGATGATTGCTCATCTTCTCTAATCTTCTCTACATTGATTCAAAATTATTTATACTCTATTTGAATCCATAGGGACTTAAATGTGTTTCCATGAGAGATATTTTAGTCAAAATTTTAGGACTATCTAACTAAATTTTTATATTTGCTTTTTCATTAATCTCGTCATTCTTCCCAATAAATTTACAACAAAATAAAAGGATTTAGGTACTCATGTTTTTAATTGAATATTCTCAATTGGAATTCATATTTTTTTGAAAGAATCTGTCTTCGAGGGTAGTTTTTTTTTTTGGAAAAAACTCAAACCCGAAAGAGATTGGGGTTCCTCACCAGTGTCTGTCGTAAGTAGCAGTTATGCTGATGAAAAAGCACAATATATTTTATAAAAATTTTGTAAATATAGAACATTGTTGTAATGTTTTCAATTAATTTTTTCAATATGAGATATTATATTAACAACACTCGATTATTTATAATATATTGAAATATCATATTTTTGATATAAAATATAACACGTTGCATAGTAAATTTATTAAGTACACATATATATTTTAAGATAACGAGCACTTGTATCCGAATTTGCATAATGCATTATATAGGTAGCAGTTAATAGTGTCACAACAAAAGATAAAAAGAAATAGCGTAGTAGAATCTTTGAGAGAGGGATATATATATATAATCAAGCGCAAAGGGTTTGAAGGAAGAAATTTTATATTAAGAACTAGATGCAATATCATTGAACGATTACAAAATACTTGAACAAATAATATAAAATAAGATGCCTCTTATTTTCTAGAACAAACCCTTACTCATATTAGAAGCTAAAATCCTAAAACAAAATATAATCTAAAGACTAATCCTGAGGCATTTACTGTGTTGGAAAAATTAAAAATTTGTTTTACATAAATAAAAAAAGTTCACTTAGAAGAATCCTTGGCCAAATCAATGATACTTTGGAGGCATCATGTTTGGATTGTTTAATGGAACAATGTTAGAACTGAATCCAGCAGGCTTTGTATCAAAAGGAAGACCTGTTCCATAGGAAGAACTTCCTAGAAAAAAGGATGGTTAGGATGATGATGATGAGGACGAAGATGAGGAAGATGAGGATGAGGATGATGATTATTTGGGGTACGAATCACAATCTTCTCAGCATGCTTAGCCACATTCTTCTTCATCTCATCGAGAGAGGCCTTCAATTGTTGAAGTGTGTTAAGCTCATATCTTCCTTGGGAGCCATCCACCAACATTGATTCTCATTTGTCTTTTTCATATGGTTAAGCTCCTCGCCTCGCTTCTTCTCGATTTCGAGTTGGTTCAGAACCTGTACATGTAGTAGAATTAATATATATTATTTATATTGATAATGTTTTATTAGAAAGGAAATAAATTAAAATAACCTGAGTGAGCTGCATGTTGAGCTTATGGACGCTAGCGTTCCGATGAGCCTCAATGAGTTTCATGGTTCCAGAAGTAGCTTGTGGTGGACTACCACTAACAAAACGTTCCAACACAGTCTCGACACAAGGATGACCAAAAGAAAAGACCTTTCGACCGAGTGAGAAGACGATAATAGCAATCTCAGCCCCACATAGAGTGCTCAATTCACTTGCCTTCTTGAAAAGTCCAGCTCGACGTTTGGAGAAAGTGACTTGGAGATTGCTTTCATTATTCATCTTCACCATCTCAACCTTTTGTCGTCCCTTACTCTTTCTCGCCATACTTACAAGTATTGAGTATATGCAGAGAGAAATTAAAAAAGAGATTAATGGAGAGAAATAATTGTATTAAAAGAGGGGGAAATGAGTGATATTTATAGGAGATTTAAATCAAGGTTGTGATTAATAAATTTTAGGTAGACATCTTGTACATATTTTTCTATATTAATAATTTAGGGTTGCTTGAGAATCTTCTCTTTATTGAAATATACGGTAGGAAAAATCTAGACAATTAAAGTTAAATTTTAGCTGTACTTTTATACAATTTGATAAATCATCATTGTTTTAACATTTATAGATACATAGCTAGATGGATATATATGAAAATTGAACCTTCTTGAAAATTTTACATTTTTTATGTTATATATATGTATATATATTCTCGATATTAATTTGGGATAGAGAAGGTAAGAGAGCTACTTTTAATTTTATTTATTTGTTTCTTGTTACGAGACACAATGAATCAAATTGCAGTGATAAAAATCCTTAGATTATTTATGTTAAAGTAATAAAAAATATAAAAATGTATTATATGATATATTAAAATTTAAAAACTATGATGAATTCTTTATAAAATTAATTGATCATTAGTACAATGGATAATTTTAATTTATTTATAAGCATTAAGGAAGGATCTAAGTTGCAAATTATAACTATCAATTGGATCACATTTAAAATTCAAAGTTTTAAATAATTAAATTTAATTATGACAATCGATTAACCTTCATAACAATAAAGTTTTAATTCGATTGCACGTGATATTCAATTAAACTTGAAATTCATATAATTCATGTTGAGTACTTTCAAAAGGTGACTTACAATTATTTTATTTGTATAACACTTCAACTTGAGCCTGGTTAAACAAAATCCAATTTCTTTGATCCATTTGATTGAAAATTTCTATTTAATATTGTTTGGTCCTAATATAAAATCTTCCTTGTTTGCATACTTAACATTTAATGAAGATATTATCCCTACTTGGGATATATTCCCAAATATATAGATATGTTTACATACTTAGATAAGCACTCTCAATAGAATATTTCCCTTGAATATTACCTAATTTCATTATTGATTTATTTTAAGATTAATTACCCACATCAAACTAGTAGAATTTTCATAGCTAGCATTTATGTGTTAATAAAATTTTCTTAGTTGGAGCTTATGCATGTGGCCCATATAGGCTTAGTATTAAATAATTTATAGGACTTTAACCAATATAATTGATTTATTATGACTAAACACTTTTCATTCATCATCATGATTTATTTATCGCATCAATAAATTGGATGAACATACATGTCACCAAGAGTGTCATCTAATAAATATATCACAACTCTTACAATGTATAAAAATTTGATCATGAAATTTAGTAGTTTGTCCATGGATGCATAATTACCATATAGTTAATTCATTTCATTTATTGTATTTTAGATTAACTCAAGATATGACTTATACCAACCATTATTTAACTGAATAGTTGGTATATTTCTTCTTGTACAAGAGATTGTACTTCCTTGTAGGTTTTTAATTAAATGTTATTTATATTATTTTAAAATTAATGTCTGTATATTAGTTAATTAACCGACACAAGTATTTATTCAAAAATAGACTCATAATTGTCAATGTAAAAACTAACTCGCATAAATATGATATAATTGAAGGTATTCCCACAGATGATCATGTTCTTATCGAAGCATGATAATGTGACTTTAATATTTTATTTTCTTATATTTAGACGTTACCTTTGTCTTGAGTTAATGAGTTAAAAATAAATTACTTAAAATATTTTCTCCTATTACAACTCTTAGAATAGCGGGTTGATTTCAACTTGAAAAATAAAAATAAATGCATAGATAAAAAAATTATGTTATTATTGCACTCTTTGAAAGTACCACAACGCTACAATGAAAAGGAACATGATGAAAACCCAAATGCTAAGGCATCAGATATCTAACATAAATAAAATAAAACAAACTGCAAGCATTGTGTTTACAACTCTTTTTAATTTCATCCTTCCGAGACTTAGTCAAGAAATGCACTTAGTAGAATCTTATTTTTCCATTTCCTTGAATATATATATTGGGAATATCGTTGAGCACATTAGGTATCGTGTTTGGGTCGTTTAATACATGAGGCATCATGTTTAATTTGTTCTGAATTATAATCATCTCAGCTTCTTTAGTAACTTTCTTCTTCAATTCCTCAAAAGATGTCTTTAAATGCTCAAGTTCTGAGAAATGCATTTCCTGTTTTTGACCCATCCACAACCACTTACTCTCACACATTTTTTGTATTTCCTTAAGCTCTGCATTGCGATTTTTCTCAATTTCCAATTGATTCATGACCTATTTTCATATGTTTTAAATAATAAGTACAATTCAGTATAAGTTGTAATCGAACAAAAGGAAGATCAAATAAGTATAATAAGTTTTAAAATCTAAATATGGTCTACTCAAACCTGTGTGAGGATCATATTGAGCTCATTGGGATTCATCAAATTGGGATTCATCAAATTGGAAAATTTCATTTTGTACTATCCAACAAATAACTTTATTTATAAATTTATTAGCTTTAATTACTTATTCATTTAGAGTCAACAGATTAGACATTATCATTTTGCACTATCGAATATATAACTTGATTTAGATTAATTTTCTATATAAATTTCTTAGCTTTAATTACTTATTCATTTGGAGCAGATTGCGTATTATCATTTTGCACCATCTAATATATAAACTGATTTATAAAATTTAATTACTTATTTATTGGGAATTATTAGGCTGGACATTATTATTTTGCACTATTCTATATATAACTTGATTGAGAGAGATTTTCTATATAAATTTTTTTAGCTTTAATTACTTCCTCATTGGGAGTTACCAGGTTGGGGATCTTCATTTTTCACCATCAAACATATAATCTGATTTAGATGGATTTTCTATATAAATTTTTTACTTTAATTACTTACTCATTTAGAGTCATTAGGTTAGACATTATTATTTTGCACTATCTAATATATAACTTGATTTAAATGGATTTTTTGCATAAATTTCTTAGCTTTAATTACTTGCTCATTTGGAGTCACAAGATTGAGCATTATCATTATACACCATCCAACATATAGCTTGAGTTAGGTGGATTTTTTGTATAAAATTTTTAACTTTAATTACGTACTCATTTGGAATCATCAGGCTGTGCATTATCATTTCACACTATTCAACCTATAGTTTGAGTTAGGCAGATTTTCTATAAAAATTTCTTAGATTAATTACTTACTTATTTAGTGTTACCAGATTGACTTTATTATTTTGCACTATCCAACATATTGCTTGAGTCAGGTAAATTTTTTTTATAAATTTTTTAACTTTAATTACTTACTCATTTGGAGTCACTAAGTTTGACATTATCATTTTGCACTATCCAATACATAATTTAATTTAGATGAATTTTCTATACAAATTTATTAGCTTTAATAACTTACTTGTTTGGAATCATCAAGTTGGAAATTATCACTTTTCACCATCCAATACAACTTGATTTAGATGAATTTTTTATATAATTTTTTTTTGGTTTTGATGACTTACTCGTTCTAAGTCACCAAGTTGGGTATTTTTATTTTATATTGTTCAATATATAATTTGATTTAGACGAATTTTCTTTGTAAATATATCGGCTTTAAAGACTTATTTGTTTGGAATGCTTTACATCACCTCATTGAAATATATAGTAAAAGAATCTTGAAAATTGATATAATATTACCTTTAAGTTATACGAATTTACCATTCCAAATCATCATTGCTTGTCGAACGAAATGAGATGAATATTCTTAGAAATAGTTATTAGCAGCCACATTTTCTTGCTCATCAAATTTGACAAGATAATGAAAATAGTGTCAACATCTATGCACGGATAAATAAAATTTGAATAACACATCCCAATACACAATATTATATAATTACCAACCTATTTCCTAATATATATATATACATATCAAATTTGGGAAGATAATGAAAATATTTTTGATGTTTCTCCAAACATGAATATTAAGTTAGTCAACAAAAAATTACAAACTTGGCAATAAAATTATAGCGAATATTGCGAAACCACCATGAAGTTTAACATGTTATATATAAAAAAAAATTAAAATTATAAAAAAATCCCAAAGTACTGAATATCATACAATTACCAACCTACTAATTATTTTAATAACAATTTTCCTCTTTTCAACCTTAGCCATAAAAGGTTTTGATGAAGCTTCCATATAAAACTATTCCAATTTGGCTCAATTCTTCACTATGGTGAGTTGTCTTTCATAGTATGTTATCTTTCTTGACACTTTTGATGATTGCTCATCTTCTCTATTAAGCTTCTCTACATTGATTCAAAATGATATATACTCTATTTGAATCCATAGGGACTTAAAAGTGTTTCCACGAGAGATATTTTAGTCAGAATTTTAGGATTATCTAACTAAATTTTTACGTTTGCTTTTTCATTAATCTCGTCATTCTTCCCAATAAATTTGCAACAAAATGGAAGGATTTAGATAGTCATGTTTTTAATCGAATATTCTCAATTGGAATTAATATTTTCTTGAAGGAATCTGTCTTCGAGAGCGTTTTTTTTTTTTGAAAAAAACTCAGACCCCAAAGAGATTGGGGTTCCTCCCAATTTCCATCATAAGTAGTAGTTATGCTA